CAAAAAATAATTCCCTCATCAAACTTAGCAGAAGTGGCTTGATTTTGTTCTCAGCAGGGGACTTTGACAGAGTATTTCTCAAAANCGGCTGAGTTGACCGCAGTGCAGAATCGCTGTATAGTTTAAATCTCCTAACAATGTTCTCCATTTTAGACCTTATTATATTTACAGCCCTAAATAAGATCAATTTTCTGGGCTCAATATGTGTCTTGGCCGTTTTCGTTGTGATCACTAAATTCCCCTTGTTTATAATAATCACCGTTCCTTCAGCAGGATACTGTAGTGATTCAAAGTGGGATTTTAGCAAACGAGTGCTTTTGTTTTGAAATCACTTCCGTGAGTTTCGCATCGCTCCAAGGACCATTTGCCAATTTAGTAAGGTAAAAAACTAAAAGCAAAAACGCCTCTCAGACGCTCTTCCGTTTACTTGTTTAATAAAGAAAAACAATTGGACGGTAGATACACGGATTCAGAAATCCTACAATGAAGCGGGACATTGAAGTGTTCTCCTGAGAGAGGGCGATCAAGAGAAGAGAGAGAGCGGCCCCGTTGAGGGAGTTTACAGATGAAAAGGCACAGAAAGACAGAATCTCAATAACAAGTATATTTTGGTGTTTTTTTGTAAATAGCGACGGTGTCAAGAGGAAGTAAAGTCCCCTGGTGTGTCCCCTACTCTAACTGCCATGAGAAAACTCCAAATCTATTTTCCAAAATCCTGCACTAGAGGTGCTCTTAAAAGCATTTTTACAAACGGGGACATTTCCGGGGACAGATTGAACATGTTGTGTCAAATGATGCACCCCCGTCGTGAAATGCACCCCCTGGCCTGCCTTAAAAAGCCCCCCCAAAACAGATGCTTCTATTAATCCCACCCTCAAGCACGTTGGAGGGTATAGTTGTAGGACTAGTACCAACAAATGGAGCAAGACCCTCCAACGTGCTTGAGGGTGGGATTAATAGAAGCATCTGTTTTGGGGGGGCTTTTTAAGGCANTTTCTGGATTTTTTTCCTTCTCATTTTGTCTCTCATAGTTGAGGTATACCTAGGATGAAAATTACAGGCCTCTCTCATCTTTTTAAGTGGGCAATTGGTGGCTGACTAAATACTTTTTTGCCCCACTGTAAATGGTCTACAAAGGCTAAAATCCTGAAGTTCCCTCCAGAGGGAGTTTCTCTCCCACACATAAATAAAAAAAACCTAAATGAACACAAATATGGCCATTAAGGCCCGGACACACCAAGCTGACACCAAAGAACTGATACAGACGGACCCCCGACTGTTGTGTCTCTGCGTCTTGGCCATGTGTCGCACTGGAACACACCGCAAAGACTTCAGCCGACGGCCAAGTAGCACGTACGAACTGCGCATGCGTGAATGGCAATAACTCTCCTTACCAGCAGGTGGCGGTAGTGTGTATTCGTCATTCAAAAGAGGCAACAACTGGAACACAGACTGCGTGATAACCGAGAGAAGAACAACAAACAACAAATAGCGTGTGCGTTCCATTTTCACTCTACAACAAGAAGCTCATGGGGCTTTCCCGAACCTGTGTCGAGAGCTGGAGTTAAATGCCTTCTTAATAGTTTGTTTGGGTCCCTCACTTCCGTTTTGCTTCTCATGCACTGATTTGCCAGCTGAACAGCCAATGAGAGTGATTTATTTTGCCGACAGCCTTTTTTTGGTTTCCGGCACAGCTGAAAAGACACGACGGTGCGGGACACACCAATCTGAGTAGGGCGTGTCGACACTCATTGTCGGCCTGACGCCTATCGACGGCCAAAATCGGCTTGGTGTGTCTGGGCCTTTAAAGGACCCCTTTAAGAAAAAGGCAAAGGCTTGTACTGTAAATGTATTGTACTGTTGGCTGTATACCAAATAAGAATACTGCAGTTGTCATATATGTATTGTACAGACACAACAAAGAACATTTCTTGTGAAAACATACCTGGCATAAAACCTGATTCTGAAGAATCGAGATTCCCCGCACTGGTTTTGTCCATTCTATTAACATCAAATCTAGAAAATGATCATCTGATAAATCCAATAAGAAATAGTGGGGTAAGGGAACCCGACTTTTCATTTTAATCTGGCCAACAATATTATTAGTTGTCATCAGTAGCCAACATGGCCCCATTCGACGTGAAGGTGATTCAAGGTCAGATCAAACACATGTTCCTTTTTCTTCCTGCACTGCCTCAGTTGTATTGTTTTAGAGGTAATTTAGGTACACACAGGGCTCTCATAACTCTTGTTAAACCAAAGTAATATAACAATGGATCTGCGTGTGCTTTAAACAGTATAAGAGAACATACCAGTCGTACTCTCTTCAGCCGCTCCTCCAGCTTCTCCTGAGCCTCTCTCTCCCTCAGGACGCCCTCCAGCCTGCTGATCAGCTCTGCAGCAAACCTCTCCGGCTCCACGTGGATATCCTTTGGAATCCGGTTAGTGCGCTGGGGGAAAAAAAAAAAGGTCAAACTGTAAAAGCACTCTCCTCTGTCACTGCTGCATTTCTGTCAACACCATCTGGGCTTTTACCATCCCTGACCCTTTACTCATCTCAGATGAAAGAGTTGAAACTTGAGCGGGAAACATTTAAGTAAACAGTGTCGAGTGTTAATATCAGAAGGGGTGGCACACGTCATAAATTACACTCATTTTAGGAAAGTCAAAATTAAAAGTATTTTGGAATAAGGGATGCAACATTATGCACCTCAAATATAAATGATGTATCTGATAATCATAGATATTACGCTTAGATAATGTATTATTAAAAAGGCTATAACATGAAATAGGTATCAGAATGCATAGTTAAAGATAAAAACTATGGCACATTTTTACCTTTATGATTTTGTTAATGAATGGAATAAAATAGATGGTCTTTTATCAAAAATGCATATGGGTTAACCCATACATACATTTCAAAATGCTGTATGTGTATACGCCCTTATACGAACCGCCCTTATAGACAGACATGGTTTTTCCTTCCTTGTTTTGTTTTTTGTGTTTTCTGTTTCCAATATCTTGTCAAAACAATCAAAATGCAGCAATACTCAATACATATTAATGTGGAAAAGAAATTGCTACATTTACAACAACTTCAATGAACCCACAACCATTTTGTCAGTGATTGTTTTTCAACATTATGGAGAATGTATGCTTAAAAAAATTGATCGATACCTCGGTGTGTCTGGAATAGAGGTTGAAGCTTCACTTCCCATCAATAAAAAAAAATCACCTTGCAAGCTTTAAGAACATAATATACATTCAATGAGCATGGCAAAATATTTCATAGTCGGCACTAAACATTTTTGTTTTATTTAATATTCTAAAATAGGAAAATAAACTAGGAAGAATAGCAAGTTTCAGTTTAAATGACACTATTCTCTCCTTAATGAAGAGATCAGTGACATTTGTTTCCTAGCTAATAGCGTGAGTATTTGCAATGCAGTCATAAAAATGCAAAGCTCCTAGTTAGGAGCCAGTTTAAACAAAGAAAAGGCTTGCAGTGACATTTAAAAAGATACCTACAAGCCCTGTCATTTCTCTTATTGCTGATGAAGGGATGTCATGATTAATTTGTTGGGGCAGGGAAACGTGAGAGTTATGCTTTGGGGATTTGTGCTCTACTACACAGTCAATTCATGCATCCTAATAGGACGCTACGTGTGGAGTTTTTAATTTGACTCTTTACTCCAAGGCCTAATTAGGGCCAGGGTTTTCCTACCAAGAGACAGGGTAAGCTGCAGAGGGAGGCATCGGGCTGTCACAGGGGAAGATTCATGTCTGCTAGGCTTCAGCGCTCACAGCTTAGGAGAGCATCAAGCTACATTTAGACAGCTTTCTCTTTCACCATCAGCTATTCTTACACTCCATCACACGCCCTGCGACACTGCACAGCTCAAATATGCACGTCTCCGATGGTGCAGGCGAGAAAAATAAGACAGTTTAATAGAGGTGTAGAGGCAGAAAGTGAGAGAAGCCATGAATAACTCACTGGGATATGAGGTAGTGGCACTCGCCCATTTGCTTTGGCGCTTTCGTGCATCTCCCGGCGATGCTGTTTGCGGTATCTGTAGGGTGGAACCCCATCTCTGGAATTAACAACAAAGACATTTTCATAAAACATCCTCATGAATAAACAACACAGGCAGCTTTGAAGTTGAAGGCTTTTTTATTCTGCATTTTTTTTCTCCTACTAAAACACCTTGTAATTCTTGATAATCAGTGCAGCTGGACGGGCTTTCTCACAGGCGCATTGTGTCCCTCCTGCACCACAAGTGGTCCGGCTGATTACAGTGACATGTTAACACTTCCATCAGGCTGTAAGTCCATGTGGGGTTTGGTCATGCTGGGTTTCACACTACACTGTGCTGGAGGCTCTGGACCAATTAGCTGATAACTGTCTCTAATCCATTCAGCTTCAAACACATTTTCTGTCCAGTTGTGCAAGCTTTGAAGTTTCTCATAATCCCCTAGTGCCATCTCTGAACCTAGAAAATATTATTTCTAAAATCTTCTTACTGCAGCACATGCCTGGTCTGCACGCTCAACTGAAATACAAGTTGTCCTGCTTGAAAGGATCCCATGTGGTACAAAACATTGGGTGCTGGAAAAGGACACAATTGAAAGACTATGACTTTAAAGAAGTTATTTTTTTAAGAAACATTTAAAACTGGTTCGTGTCTTTTATTTGCAAAAGAGGTCAGTTGGTTAGTATTTTCATTTCTGTACACATGTATGATTTTACATCAGCTAGGAGTCCGTTTTAAGGTTTGCTCTTTAGCATTAATGATTGATTCTAAGCTTCTACTGGTTCAAATAATGAGCAGCTGGGGCATACGTAGCTGCTTCAATCATTAAGGTTAGCACAGTTTAAAAAATGCAGGAAGACTACACCCTTATTTCTGTCTTTGAGAAATGCTAACTTATAAACACGTCTTCTTTTTTAATAACTAGGAAAACTAAGAATAATATTTGGTTTTGTCAATTAGTTTGGTAATACAACTCGTACTACAGCTATTTGTAGCATTTAACCACTGTAAGCATGAAATGTGTGTGTGAGATGAGAAAATACGTACAGACTGCTGTCGGTGAGGGAAGTAGTGTCTGCGTCGCTGGACATACTCTGCTGCTCGCTGTCGTTGGCGCTGGTGGCAGGAGCCATGGCATAACCAGTGTTCACATAGTACGGGTTGACGGGCTCACGAAATGGTGCAGGCCTAGACAAAAAAGAAAATACAGGAAATGCTGAGACAAAAATAGAGATGGATCATAACTTGATAAAGTCTAAATTAAGAACATAGGGTATTGCTTTTTTAAAGGGGCCCTATTGTGCTAAATTTTAGGTTGATATTTGTATTTTGTGCCTCTACTGTGACATGTTTATATGCTTCAATGTTCAAAAAGGTATTTTCTCAGTATTTCTTTCTCATACTGCCTGTGCTGCAGCACCTCTTTTCACCCTCTGTTTGAAACCAGAGCCCAGTCTGCTCTGATTGGTAAGCTGGCCAGCTCTGTTGTGATTGGTCAACCACATATGGGGCTTTCACACCAACTCGGTTCCAGGGCCGGTTCGGAGCTAGAGCCTGAAAAGCACAGTTTTTTTCCTGTTCACACCGCAGCGGAGCCGCCTCTAAGCTCCGGAATCCGGTTTGTTTCAAGCACCAAAAAATTGTCGGTCTAGAAGCAAGAACCGCATACGCTTACGTCGGAGGGGGGCGAGATAAACCTGAGCTAACAGTAAAAGGAGAGTACGGCAAATACAAGTTGTAACAAGCAGTAGCGCTGACCAAAGTGACTAGAACGCAACCACCCACTTATAACAACAAAAAAAACACACTTTATAAAGTCAGGCAACACTAACCAGGCCATCCGTTTGCTGTTATTGATCATTGTGGAAAGCAGGCAGATGTTTTGTTTTGTATTATAGCAGCTATCGGATGGAATCAATACATGGGCTGCACAGGATGTAATGTCCGACTATCACAAGTAGAATCATAATGAAAAATACGCCGGTAAAATGTGCCAGTAGAAAACG